TTTTTTTTTTTTTTTTTTTTTTTTTTTTTTTTTTTTTTTTTTTTTTTTTTTTTTTTTTTTTTTTTTTTTTTTAAAATATTTTTTTTTTTTTTTTTTTTTTTTTTTTTTTTAAAAATTTTTAATATATTTTTATTTTTTTTTTTTTTTTTTTTTTATTTTTTTTTTTTTAAAAAAAAAAAAAAAAAAAAAAAAAAAAAAAAAAAAAAAGATTTTTTTAATCTAATTTCAAATAACTTATTATTATTAATATTAACATTATTATTACTTTCTATTTCATTGTAATACGTATTAAATAATTTCAAATTTCTAATATATATATTATATTATATATATATATATATTTTTTTTAAAAAAAAGCGAAATAAACTTACCTTTTAACTCCGAATTGAAATCAGCCTTAATCATAAAGTGATGATGATCGGCGGCTTCCAAATCAATTGTAGTTTCAACCATCTCTTGATACTTTTCAAGTTCACTGTAATGCTCCTATTTATAAGGTTCGACATTTAATGCAAATCCCAAAAATAACAACAATTCATCTTAAAAATAAAATATTTACTTTGAGTTTTATATTATATATTTCATCAATAAGTTCTTTGTTGGAGTCATTCATAGAATCAAACAATTCTAAAGCTTCAATCAACTTGGGAAGCTTTAATACTACTTGATAGACGCGTATAACATCCTAATCATAAATTTATATTAAATTATTGATTTTAATAAAAAAAAGCTACTTTAGAAAAAAAAGAAAGTAACAAACTTGTAACGAGGCTATTCTCTTTTGGAATCGTTTTGCCAAACGATGAAGGTCAGGAACGTTCTTCAAATGTTCTTCCTAAATAGATAACGTTTATGTGATTAATAATAAGGTTATGATTTGTTTCTTTAATCAATAATAACGTACCCGTATAGATAGTCTAAGCTCCGTATCCTCCACCAAGATTTCTACTAATGATTGTCTTAGTTCTGTAAGGTTGAGAACAGAAAGATTGTTACAAAAACAAAAGATTATGTACAAATAGTGATGATAAAATAAAAATACGATAAATATATATGGGAAGGTTGCTAGAAAATCAGGTTCTGTGAATTTTTTGTCTAAAATTAAGATCTTATTGCATTTTAATATAAAATCATCAAAAACTGAAATGCAGAACCTGAATTTCCTAACAATATTCACACATATATATATATATATATCATACCTATCTCTTTCATATTCATTAATGGTTGTTTCAACCACTGACGCAACAGTCTAGAACCCTGAGCAGTCTTGCATTTATTCAAAAGACCAAATAAGCTCGTATTCTTATTTGATACTAAAAGTTATTTAAAAAAAATTTTTTTTTTTAAAAATTGGAAATTTGCACTCATTCCAAAATTGCTTAATGATTTATGTATACCTTCTTGCGTATTCGGCATCAAATTCAATGCTTTTAACGCTGAAGTATCTAATTTCATATATTGTGACAAATCATGATGTCTCAAAATGTAATGACCAAAATTATTTTCATCGGTCATAAGCTTTTCATATTACAAAGGAAAAAGTAAATTAATAAGTCAAAATGTAATAAAATTTAAATATTGTAAATTCAAGTGTATCAACTTACCGATAGATATTTAATAAGACTTTCGCAGGAAGCCATAGCATGCTTCATCTCAAATTCGGCTGTAATTAAAGAAATTAGATAAATTAATTTTAATATTATATCGATTTGTTCTAAAATCGCGAAACTTACGAAGAGACATCACAGATATATCATCACCAAGCAAGCGATTAAGGTCTTGTTCAATATCCTTGGTTGTAAATTCACCTGAAAACAAGAGGTAAAAAAATTTTTTTTTTTAATGTTCGATTAAGTTATGAAAAATTCATAATCGAAATCAATAAACTATAAATAACAACAAATAAATTACTTTTCTTGCGTTCAGTGATAACAATATCACATCTTTCAATGATATCCCTTAATTTTAATAAATCATAATCTTTTTCGTCTAAGGGAATCACACATTCTTTAACTCCAAGTTGAATAAGTAAAGACTAAATATAAAATTTAAAATCAATCAATTTTTTTTTTGTGTTTTTAAATACGAAAGAAATTCTAAATTACCTCAAAATTCGAAAACGATTCATTGTCAATAAATTCTGACACACCTAATTCTCTAATTGTTGTGTCGGCAAAGGAAACACCTACAATTTTTTGTTCTTTTTGCATTCCTAATTTAACTGATAATACTATAGGGGAGGCCGAAATTTCAACATCAGAGAATAAATGATCTTCAAATGCCTGAATATTTCCTGGAGAAGCCTATATAATAATTGAATTTTAATGTCAAAGAAGATATGAAGACAAAATAAAAAAATAAAAAAAAAATGAGGCATCAACATACATTCTTGACTAATTTCCATTGACCCTTTGATCCTTGAACCCAAATCTCAATTCTCATTTGTTTATTTAATAAAGCATCACGTAAAAATGTGTCGCATGCCAAACGTGATAACGTGCAACTAGGGATTCCCTTATTCATATCACCTGTATAATGTTGAATAAAGAATTGAAAAAAAAAACTTTTTTCCTTAAAACTAGATAGATTGAAAGAATCGCGTACCGCCCAAGTACTTAATCACAGAGGAAGTTTTATAAAAATCTTGCGCGATAAATAAAGCATCATCTCCATGGATACTATAATAATCCTATATTAAAAGGTCAAAAAAAATTATTAATACAAGTTTGTATTCCTCAATATATTAATTATGGTGGATCAAAATTAACCAACCCCATTACTTCTCTCAAATAATCGTATAGTGTTATTCGATTTCTATTATTAAAAATTCATAATAATTTAATTAATCAAATCAAAGATGTTCAAAACCCAATAATATATTACCTGCGGAAGCCCTCTAATAAAGGCACAAAATCCTTGTTCGCCTTGCTGGTTATCTAAAAAACATAATAATACGTAAACACGATAAATTTATTGTTTTATATATATATATATATTTACTGTTATTTACTGTTACATGGATTGACTATATATATATTTTTTTTATAAGATACATAATTTTCTTTTATATTTATTAGCTACAACAACTTAGGACACGTAAATTTACATGAAAATCTCATTATTATTTTTTTTATTAAACAAAAAAAAAGGGCAAAAATACTGTTTCTTTACTAACCAAACGTTAAGTCTGGTCTATCCTTTACTGAAGTCGTCATACTTGACAGACAAAGTTTATATAATATCACTGAAAATGAAAATAGAAAAATATTGGATATTGAATAAGTATCTTTTCGAAGAAAGTTTGGTCAACAACATGAACGCGTGTTAAATTTTCGTGCGAGATAATCTATTGAATTAAAGTCACGTGTAGCTACATAAAACACCCTAATTTCCACAACCTAATTTTCCCGCTGTTTACAGTAATGAATTTTGGAGCTCCAACCATCTAAATTCAACATTTTAATTCGTCAAACAAGAAACTTAAAGATACTCCAAAATTATACTCTACATGCGGAGCTCACGTGATCTATAGACGCAATTTCGTGATACATGAATTTGACTCGATGATTATAGAGATGAAATGAAGTTTGAATTTCCCCAAAAATATTTATCAAATTTCTTTTATTATGGGATAAACTGCGGAATGGTTCAGAGATGAAATATCATATGACAGCTCATTTGTTCAACGATTATTGTTTTCTGCGGTTACAAGACCAATAAAAATGATTTACGGTGTATTAATTTTTTTTTTAGTACGTAATCAAGTATATATCAACATATTTGCGTAGAAATCGGATTATGAATATCCGTAGTACAGCTTTCCATAATAGACAAAAATACCAGAAACCGAACCCCAAAAATGGAAAAAATACATCCAAAATTTTTATATAAATTAAACTTTAATGCTAAAATAATTTAAGACACTGATCCTAAACTTTCCAATTCACAAAAAAAAAATTTTTTTCTCCCTTGTTTTTTTTGTCATTTACATAACATCTCACTTGTTTAAAAAAAAAAATCGTCGTCAGTTTTTCCTTTAAATTTTTGTGGTATTTAAACCGAATCACTCGTCGATTATTCTCTGTAAATATTTAGTTCTTTAAAGATAGTTTATTTGAATATGGTAGGTGTTTTTAACATTTTTTACCATTTGTCACGTGAACAAGCAGTTCATTCATGAGTTTACGTTTTGATTTTGTTCATATTATAAAGTACATTTTTGATATTTCTTTTATTTTTTAAAGTACTTTCTTTATAAAGTTTGATAAAAACCGCGTTTTTTATTAAATACCCAGTTAGTTTTTTAAATGTCAAAAACTCATCTTTTGAACTTTAGTCGCGTTGGTTTCTGTTTTTTCGTTGTATTATTTAATTTAACTAAATATGTAAACAAAGGTTATTCAATCAAATAAATAATAAAATTATTCCTAATAACAACTACTTTCTTATTGTTTTTCATATACATAAGGCAACTGGTACTAAAGCACCCTTTGGCGCACCAACTACTGAAAACGGTGCTTCTGGAAATACTGGAACCGTTGAAAATTCCAATCACCAACAAAAGCCTGAGAGACCTCCTGTCGTGTCCAGATCACAAAGGGCCGGCTTGCAGGTAAAAATACATTTATATTTTATTTATATGATATATTCCTTCGTTAATAAAGTGCACCTGTTTTACGTCAAGAAGAGATTATATTATCAATGTATTATCATCCATTTTATTGTTGCTGCGCCACGTTGATCTAATTCACGTTTTTTTTTTCGCTTTGTATTATAGTTTCCAGTTGGTCGAGTTCATCGCTATTTGAAAAAACGAACTTTGAATAATGCTAGAGTTGGTGCCAAAGCTGGAGTCTATTTAGCGGCAATTCTAGAATACCTTACAGCCGAGGTACTCGAATTAGCAGGGAATGCTTCAAAAGATCTTAAAGTGAAAAGAATTACGCCTCGTCATTTACAGCTTGCAATTCGAGGTGACGAAGAACTTGACACACTGATTCGAGCTACAATTGCTGGTGGTGGTGTATTGCCGGTAAGTCATATAATAAATAAGATCGATATATCTTTTTTAAATATCTGTAAAATCTATTCTGATAATAACTTTGTGTATTTCCTTTTCTTTTCTAGCATATTCATAAAACACTTCTCAATAAGTCAAATCAAAAGTCGAAAAAATCTTCATAAATCATTAAAACCAATAATATGCTATAACTAGAAGGTGAACATTTAGAAAAAAAATTTTTTTTTCTTGAACTTCTCTCTTGATCATCATGTTAATTTTGTGATCTATGTTCTAGTATTAGACGAATGGTCGAAATATTGTGACAGGAAGTTAAATAAATCCTCGGATGGCGGTTAAACGTTGAAATTGCACTTTATTGCTATTCTTTTAATATTTTGTCTATTTTAATGCTTTGCAATAAGTGCTTACGATTCCCGTAATATGGATTTCTTTTTTTTTCATTAAAATAAATAAAATACAAGATAATATTTGTATTTTTTTTTTTTTTTTCTGACAAAAAAAAAAAAAATCTATGAAATTAATGTTTAGAAACAGGAATGAAAGAATATTTAATTCCATTTCATCCTACCAAAAAAAAAAAAAATATTTTTAATAAATATAAATATGTTTGATTGATTGATCTACTAAATTTATACATTATTAATATTTCGATTTTATTTTTTTTTTTATAAAAAAAAAAAAAAAATAATAATAATAAAAAAGATTAGTATTATCTTAATAAAGAAGCAACAAATAACACAATTTCAACAAATCAAACCAATCCTATGTATAATGGTTATTATTAAATTAAATTCTATGATTTTGGAATTTTGATTTGAAATGAACCTACATATAATGAATAAAATCAAATATTATTTAAATGTTTGAAAACGAGACATTTTTTATCATCGACAATACAATTAAATACAATTTACATTGTGGTAAAGAGCTTGTTTCGGCAATGACCACACTAACAACTCCCAAATTAGCTAGTGCTCCTCTAATTAATCCACAAGGAAACCAAAGATACTAATAAATAAATAAAAGTTAATAAATAAACTGAATGCAGCAAAAAATAAGAAAATATGATAATTTTGATACCGGAATTGCTTTCTTGGCTGCAGATTCACCACCAGCTTCAGTTGACATTCTAAGAAACCATCTAAAGTTATTATCTTGAAGTACATAAACCCCCTAAATATATACATTTATATATTTATTTATTTTTATTTTATTTTTTAATTTTAGGTACATAATTTTTTTTTTTTTAAATGAATGATAATTCAATATGAGAATTACCCTATGGTTAGTTTTCAAATTATCAATTTGTTTTTTAAAAATTATAGTCCATAATTCTTTACAAATGAATTTCACAACATCAAGAGTATCGACAAATCTAGGACGGTCTCTCGTAAACCTAGATATGAGATAAACAAATAATTAAATATTAATTCAAGTTAATCTATATATTGTTTGATGTTTGATCATTTCTTACTTTTCAACTAAACTTTGTCCAACTTGATAACCCAGCACTTCCAATTTATAATAAACAGCTTCCTTATCATTTTCCGAATCAGCAGTAGTTCTAAACATTAAATCTACCATTTCCATAATAAAAAATTCTAAACAACTTTCATTAACCTGTGAAGGCCTAAGATTAATATTCCCTATTCCACTGAATCCTCCTAAAATCGATGTTGTAGAACCGCTTGAATTTGGTGCAGTTCCCCCTCCTGACATGTTATCATCTCCTGAAGCTAACGAGGTAAAAAATGGAGTTATGGCAGAAGATGCTGTCTGTAGTACTGACATTTTTTTTCTGTTAAAAAAGCAAATAGATCTAAAAATATATATATATATATATATGTATTGCGAGTTTTAAAACGTGAGAGATTTATTATTATTCTAGTGTACATGACTAATACTAATTTGTATTAGTTAATCAATTTAGGAAATATTAACGTTAATCACGTGTAACTAAAAATTAAGCAATTTACATCAAATTATAAATTAACTAAAATTATTAAAGATTTAAGTCTATAAAAAAAAATAAAAAAAATATCTAATTTATAAAGCGAGTTAATAATGTTGGAACTGGAATATCCCAATACTCCAATTGTTGTATAATTAATCGATTAATTTGTATGAGGTATGAAGATAATAAATCTTTAATTGAAATTATAATTTTAATGTATTTCTCAGGTAAAGATTCTAATAGTTGATTTGTGGTGCTCTTCATGGATTCAATCTAAAAATTAAAAAAATTTCACTTTAAAGAATTAGTATATATATATATATACATATATAAAGTAAATATAACTTTAAATAGGTTGAACCTCGGATTTAGATGCTTCGTTGATCTTTTCTTGATACATTTGTCTAAATCGTTCGATAGACGTTAAACTTTCTGAAAACCGATTAAAGGTGTTGAAAAGCGCTACAATTTCTGTACGTGTCAATAAGTTTGGGTTGACTTTTGGACTAATAAGTATAATTATATTAATATCAATATAATGGTATACTTGAATTATCAATGTTAATATGGTTAATATACTTTACTTGAAAAATTCGTCATCATAAGAAAATAGAACTTTTAATGCGGTTCCGAGTCCGGAAATTTGTAATTTACCCCATAATCGACATTTATCACATCCAACACAATCCATTATACGCGACACATTCCTAAATCTAGTTTTGAATTCCTCTTTTAATGACCGTGACTCGGGAGAAGCAAACATTTGTTTTTCATCAAATGTCTCTGGACATGATCTTGCTTTATTTACAAGTCCACCAACCATTGCTTTTACTTGTAAATCTTGAATTTTGTCACCAGTACAGAACTCATAACCATTTAGATAATCTGCGGCTTTTGACATAGCTCTCAGAAGTACTACATAACTAAAATATACATTTTGAAGACGTTCCGGATGTGAGCCAATGCGCTTGATGAAACATTCAAGATTTGGTCCCTATTTTTTTTTAAAAAAAAGGTTATTAAAAAAATATATATAAATATAAATCAAATTACATTTACAAAGCATTTACCCATTGACCAGTGGTTTGATTTAAGAATTCATCACAAATATGAATAGAAATTGAGGAATGTAAACCTAAAGGTAAATCATTTAATATTTTATTTTATTCATAAAAGCGTATCAAATTGATTAAGAAACTTGAGATAACTTTACCGGATATCAAACGATAATATACTCGTTTTTCGAAACAAACTTCATTATCTGTCGTGTCACTTTTTTGTGTCACATCCTCGACTAATTGATTTTTACTAGTCGGAGCTGGAACAAAATTATTATTATTTGTAGGATCCATACGAGAAACAACATTAAAACAATTTTCCTCATAAATAGATTTCCAAACGCGACCAGATGACGTTCCAGCGTAACCGGTAAAACGTTCGGGATTATCAAGAAGGTTAACAAACACGCCTTCTATAAAATCATAAAGAATATGTTAAATCTCTTAAGAAATTACGCAAAAGAGTTTAAGTTTCTATCTAATATTTACCAGAATCTGTTTCGTCTTCAACGACACAAAAATCTTGATCAGTGTATTCACATTTAATAAATGGATGGAAATGCTTAAAAGAAAGTAAAGTTTTAAGATGTAGAAATAAAGTTACTATGGCAGAGCTGAATACTTACTGTGCCAGCTTGTGAAGTTTGTAATGCGCCAAGAACATTACTACGCCACATTTCGGGTACATCAGTCTGTTAATATTAATAAGCATCACATTTAAATTAGTTGGTCTATAAGGATCGAAGGACTGAATGTTTACAAATACATGCTTCGTCGGTTGTTTCAACTGCACATGCTTGATTTATACATTGTCCATATTCTGACCAAAATGGACATTCTTTATATAGTTTTAGCTGTCGTTAAAAACCGTTAATAATAATCAAATAAAAAAATTATCTTCAATTTTCGATTTCGGCTAACCTTATAATATTTGAAAAAGTCTGATTCAATCAATTCGCGTAATCGTGGAGATAAATCATTGTTGATTTTCTCGACCGTCTCATATTCGCAACAAGCATCACTTATGATACCTGAGGGCTATTAAAAATAAATTAATTTATGCTCAAAACATCAATTGCTATTCACTTTCTTGATGCCAACCGTGCAATAATTTTGATCAGTAGTTTTATCCAACAAACTTTTCATAAATTCGTCTTGTGATTGTTGTTCCGAAAGCGATTTTACGACTAGGATAGAAACGAGGAATGTGAATAACGAAAAGAACACTATTTTAAAAAGCTTTTGGCTGAGCATGTTTATAATATATCTATATATATTAAATTAAGTATTTAAATGATTGTGTATATATGAAAGAAATTATGAAAGGAATGATGAGGGTTGGACTTTTTAATATCCGACTTTAGAAACGTATAATATATTGAAATCCATTTTGCTGTCAGATTGGCTGTAAAAAAAATCATACGAATTTATGTTTACACGTGCGTTTAAACTCAATTTAAAAGATCATCCGACTAGAATACTTTATTTAAAATATTTATATGGATAAGATCGAACCAACTTGTGATTCAAAATTTTTATTAATAACCTTTTAAAACGATTAAACGAAAAAAAACGATTATTTAAGTATCATTCAAGATGTGGCTACCACGAAACATGCTTGTTGGGATTTTTTTATTTATTTTTTTTTGATATTTCGAAGTTAAACGTTATTTTCAATATTAAGATTTATATACTATCAACAAAATATTAGATCATTAATTCACTTTGTTAACTATTTAAAGGACTAAAAAAATAAATTCAGAATCCTAAGTCAACTATTTATATGCAGAATTTCTAATAAATGTTGCCCCAAGTTGAGTAATGTTATTGCGGATTATTTACTAGTAGAAAAAACAATTTATAGATTTTATGTGAACGATTTAAAGTCGTATGATTGAGATTCAAAATCGTTATTAAAATCGATTCTGACTTTAGCGATTTTCTGACTTTCGAACCCGATCCCTACTTACATTATTTTAATTTTTATAATAAACAAATTTATTAGTAACAATTTTATTATATATATATGTTATTAATAATTTGACAAGTTAATTAGCTATTACTAAAAAATTTATATGATAATTTTATATTTTGAAAGCAAGAAATTGTATAAATTTCATAAATAAATATCATGATATTTGATTGCTAAAGATATTATTTTCTACAATTGGAAATGCAGATGCTGAAAACACCAGTTTATGAACATGACCAGACTATGAAACAGAATCATGACGGTTCCTTGAATCCAAACGAAAATAATTGTTGCTTTGAAAGTATAGACAGGTATAATAAATTGGGTGAAGAAATGGAATTGTTTAGCATTTAGCATTACAACATATAAATTACATTAAGAAAAATTTAAATTCAACAAAACCATTAACTACTCGTTCCATTCCTATTACTACTGACGAAGCACAAATATTATTATCTATAATGAAGTTTTTATCAATATTAGAACCATCACCAGTTTCAGTTTCAGTAACATTCATTTATATCCTCATCCATTCCATTAAATGAATTCACAGTTTTCTGAAGAACTTTGCAATTACTTTTAATTTCACTCACAAGATAATCAATACAATGTCAACACTGGTTTCCTATTTAAACAAAAGACATTCATGGTGATAAGCATGTTTACAAACTAGAATATAACTTATCTCATTTAAAATTGCACAATCCTTCAAATCAAATATTTATCTTCTTGAGGTGAATGATACATATTTTAAGCTATCACCATCACCTTAATATCAACTTGAATTTCAAGTGTAGAAGTTTGTAAATATTGGATTTTGAAATTACTTTGGATGTTTTATTGAGATTTTGATTAACACCTATAAATAAATTAATAGAACAAGAGCAGTCTGTTTTTCAATACATTCTAACTGCTTTGCTAAATATCTGATATTTATATTTTCAAAGAATTTCAGTAAAAGGATTATTATTATATATCTGATCAACTATTAAATAATCTATATTTGATTTGTGGATCTATTATTAAAATGGATTGTAAAAGTTTTTCACATACTAATTATTAAATAAATGAAGTGAATTTGAGAATATTTTTATAATAGGATGATTAGTATCAACCCAATTAAAGATATTACTAAAAAATACCAATGATAATTTATTATCCCTTAAACCGTAGGGTTTTGCAGGCAAATTTGTCTGCTTATTTACTATAAATTCTCTTCTGATTTACTTTTATAAATAATTAATATTTTTAAAATTTTTTTTTTAAATTAATTTTATAAATATATATATAATAAATTATAGTAAGTTTTATCTTTTAATTATACATTAAAAAGTTTAAGATTACTTAGAAGCTAAAATTTGTAATTTTTTAAAAAATTGTTATTAAAAAATTTTATGATTAATCTATAATAAACTTTTTAGGGTTTACTTTTAACTATATTAATCTTAATGGAATATTATAAAATTACTTATAAAGTAAAACTTT